AAATTGTATAAAACATTTGCGGAGCAAAATACTGATAATACAGATATATCAAGACGGTTGCAAAACACATGTCACCAAAATATAACAGAAAGATATATAGAAATATATAGTGGTACAAAATTAGGAGAAGTCGGTCCTTCTAATACCAAGTCTGCTATTATATGAAAATGTTAAAATTTACAGAATGAGCTAAAAAGCTCGGTGTGCTGTTTACGGTGTATAAAAACATACATATAAAATATTTCAATAAAATAGATTTATCAAACATGTTTTAAAAACATGAACACTACCCCGTTCGATCACCAGAATGTATAGGTTCCCCGGAATCTTACACCCACCTGTACACCTAGTAAGGACTTACCCTGTGCATAAAGAAGAGGAGTCTGTAGTAAGGTCTTATCATGTGCACAAAGCAGAGGAGCCTGTAGTAAGGACTTACCCTGAGCACAAAGCCGAGGAACTTGCGGTAAGGACTTACCCTGAGCACAAAGCCAATGAGTCTGCAGAAAGCGGTAAGGTCTTACAAGTCATAGACTAAACCTGAGATACTTCCTCCAATAAAACCCCCAATGACAGAAATAACATGTATGTAGTTGAATAAAAATAGTAGTGTAATCCATTAAAACATGAAAATATTTCATTTTCAAAAAATCAGATACGAAATACAGTAATCCAAGATCATATCAGAAATATACAGTAAATTAGATATCAAATAAATTGTGTTAAGAAAATCATGTATTGTGTCGTAAAAATATTCGGTATTATCAGAAATCTCAAACAGTTTAGACAAATAATTGAAAACAGTATTGTAACACCAACAGGAAACACACCTGTATTGATCTGAGTAGTCTGATAGGAAGCCTCTCGAGTTTTTCGGTGGCAGCGCTAGATTCTACGAATGAAAAATCCATATCGGAATCCTAATATGAATAATATTAACCTTTATTTAAATAATTTACGAAAACTTACGGGTAACTCTCATAGAATGTGGATCGAGCGGGTCTGACGAATGGGAAACTTGGATCAATTCCATAACCAAATCTCAAATAAATAACCAAAAATGATAAAAATACTAAGCATTTTTGGGGTTAACGAGCTCGGTTTGGGGCTTTCAGGTCAAAACTTGGTAAAACGGACTTCGGAATCGGACTCAGGACGTCGAAAAAACATAAAATATGACTTTTCAAAAATTTTAACTTTTTGGTCAAAGTCAACGATCAACGGTCAATAGTCAACGGTTAGTCTAGGTCGAGTCGGACACGAGTTAACGGATCGGGTCAGCCCATTTCCAAGCAGTCCACCAGGCGGTGGACTTTCCCCAGCGCAGGGGCAGCGCGTGGGGGCATATGCAGGGCTTTACAAGGTCGAACAAAATCCAAAAAAATTCCTAAGTGTGCTTTAAGGGTTTTGAGACACTTACCAAACTAGGTTAACAACAGTGAACGGAGGAGAACTCGATTTTGAAATGTCAGAAACTTGATACTCCTCACCCCCTCATACACCAGCGACAATAGAGATAAGAATGACACTAGTGGACTCGGGACGGCGCAAGGAACACGATGGTGTAAGAGGTGTCAAAAATAGAGCAACGATATGTGACCAAACGGCGATCAAATATTTTTTTCTAAAAGAGGAAAATATTAAAGAGAGAAAAAAATTAATTAATTTTTCCTTATTTTGGGTTATATATACCTAAAAAAGAAAATGGAAAATCATGTCATAGGTCCTCCATCTTTAATTGCTTTCTGAATTTGGATCCAAAATTTAATCAAAATTTCACTTTGGTCCCTAAGTTTAATCAAAATTCAATTTAGTTCTCGAGAAATTTTTAAGAGAATTTTAAACCTAATTTTAGGGTGTGACAATATTGCAGTCCGTCGGCTTGGTCACCTCCAACGCTATGATATCTCCTTTGTCGAAACCACTTCTATGACCTCTCCCAGAATGTAAAAGAAATAGCACAAACTAATAACAAAAAAATAGATAGCGGACCTCGTGTTCGGCTGCCTGATGGATTGTTCTTTGATACCATGATTGCAGTGACAAATTCCTTAAAGCACACAGATGGGGAGAAGTTAAAACATAATGATTTTCCCTACATATACATATACACGTATAGTTAGAGCTAAGTATCAAAATGTTTGAGAAACTGTTTATAAAATTTAACTTGTGTAAATAGAATTAATCGATTATTATCAAAAACTTGTCGATTCAAATTAATAGGTTTTTTTTTTCAATACTCTTAGACTAAACCATTGCTCTGGTCTGTTCTTACACCAACTGTTCTACTGGGAACAATCAAGATTTAGAACATCAAAAGCTTACAAAAAGTTCGGTGATGTGTACACTACAAACCTGTGATATCAACTAAAAGTTGAATTTTATATGACATGTCTCAGCAAATTAAACATAAAAACAAACTGAAAAAGAGAGATCCATCAACACTAAACTGAAGTAGAAATGTCACATCTTGAAGCCCCAATAAGTACAAAACGACATTGAATAGATCTCATGATGACAAACAATATAGAAGAAAGGGCAGCTAAAAGTAGTAACATGAGCAACATAAGAAGCTAAGAACTTTGATGTACGAAAAAGAAAATACCCAGAAGAAGAAAGAGCTGAAGCAAAGCTCTTTTGGTAGAATATGGGTGTGTAGATCTGGAATGCAAATTTAGTGGGAAAGTATTTCACGGAGAGAATATAAAGACGTCGGCTTCACAGTGAATAAAGTGTGTTTTCGTAGAACTGCTTGTTTTACATTTGTTAGATCAAAAGTTGAAAATGAGCATATGGATTTAATCAATAATAATCTAAAACTGCCTAAATGCACCATTGTCTTTAAAAATATATCATTTGTTTAGAGTTTGTTCTTAAAATATTTTTCGAAATATTTTATTTTTTAAAATTTAAATCGTTATCTCATTTAAATTAAAACGTTAATTTTGATAGAAAAAAAACTAATCGATAACCAATTAAAACATGCCACGTAACCATTTAATTTTTATTTAATTATATAAGAATATACAAAATTCGGAGGTCGTAGGATCGAGTTCCACGGAGGACATTTCATAATTCGGAGGTCTCCCACGAAAGCTGCTCTCAAACCTGATGTTGGGGTAACCTACTGTCGTACCTCCCCTTATTTCATTACATATGAAAACAAGAGTTAACTAATTTTTTTAGAATAAACAAAAATCAATTAAAAAATAAATAATCAATGTCAAAATGCCCTCTTTCTCCACCCCTCCGTCTTCGTTTCCCTAACCCTAACACCTTTCTTTCCAGCCACTGGTTATTGCTACAATCTTTCCATTCACCAAATACTCAAAGTTTCATCTGAAGATTTGGAAAATAACTGAAGCGGCATTGATGTCGAAAAAAAGAGGTATTTAGATAATAAAAAAACGCTATTCGTTTCTTTGAATTCTTTGATTGGATGACTTTGATGTCGTCCACAAAAGTGTGGGAAAGGAAAAGGGAAAACCAGTCTCAAGATGTCAAAGAAGCGTTCATCAAAGAAGGAGAATGAGACAGTAAAAAAACGTTAGAGAAGGTTAACTAGAAGATGATTGGTCTGCCATTGAAGCAAATGATCGAACATGTTCTTAACGTCGTTGAGGACTAGGAATCTTATTGTGAGGTCTTTGTGATATGGAAGCTTCACCAGAAATGGCTTCCATTGCTGTTTTTGGAACCCAAAATCAAGCTCGTTACCCTTATCAATCTCCCAATCATGCCCACTCCCCATCTTCTATGTTTCATCACCAACCCCTGCTTGGATTCGCCACTATTTTTGCATTCATAATCATTGATCTCATCTCAAAAACTTAGCTTTGAAATTTTAAAAAAAAAAACAGAGAGATTTATAAGACATATTACATTAATGGAGTCGAAAGAGTGATGAAGAAGGTAAAGGAAACTGGAGATAGATGGATGAAAATACAGAAAGGGAAAACAGAGGTGCTGGGGGGGGGGAAAGAAATGGTGATGTTACGATGGAGGTGGGAAGAGAGGTGGTATATTATTTTTTATTTTATTTTATTAATTTTTATTTATTCAGATAAAGAAAATAAAGATTAAGAGGTGATGTTTCATGCTTTAATTGATCATAAAAAAAATTGAACGGAGTTAACATTTTTGAGTAAACGAAGTAATGATTTAAATTTCATGGGATAGAACATCTCAAAAAATATTTTAGGAGACAACTCGGTAAAAATAGTATTTATGGGGGTAATGGTGCATTTAAGCTAATCTAAAAAATGGTTAAATTTTATTTGAAAGTTTTAATTCTGAAAAAAAATATAGTTATTATCCCTAGAGGTCTCAGGTTTAAACACGACGTTTATAAGAGTGTTTGAGCGTTCATTGTTAAATATTTTAAAATCTTTCGAACATATACTATCTTATAATCATCCAAGATTAATAAAAAGAAATCTGAAAATTTAACTCATCAATCAAAATATAAATTTAATTCTACTAGATTCGATCAAAAGTTATAACTTTTCAAATGGTTCAAATCTTTAAAATCAAAACTTTAATGATTTTCTCTAAAATAGTTAAGTCTTGTTCTCGAGTGATTTAATTGACTCGAACTTAAAATAATTTAAATTAAGAAATTTAAAACTAACTTGCACCAAAAGTATTCGACACTTAATATGGTAGAATAAAAACAACATTAGTAATAAACCTAATTGCTCTAATAATTGCAGCATCATATGGTTGCTTTTTTATGTTGAATTGGAGAGAAATTCAATGTTTCTCAAGCCTTCAATGACCTTACAAACAACACATTTCTACAAATCATTCTAATAGAAAGATGTGATAATTTTAATATCAGTTCATATACAAATTAAAATAAAATATACTGCAACTTTCACATGTTCTTATCTACCTATTCGAATATGTAAAATTGATAAAGGTAGATCATAAAGTAGCCATTCAATCCGTGGCGGATATAGGAATTTATGTTAGAGGAGATGAACTTCTTCTAAAATTCTAAGGAGACAGAAAACTGATTATCAATTTAAAGTACAAAGAAAATATCTAAAATATATGATGATTTAATATTTTCAGGGGAAACGACTACTCCTACCATCCCTTAATTTGGATGCCTATTTGTTAATGCAACAGATGAGCATATAGCTGTTCTATTCTATGCTGTATAATGTATGGTGCGGACAAGGGGTTATCTATTAAGGCTTAACCTCCAAAACAATCTCCAATGGCTGTAGATCAACAATCAAAAGGTGGAAACTTGCTCTTTGGATCTTCGATTATTCTGATAAAACCTTTACTTAAGCTACAGTGAACCTCATAAAAGTCATCTGCTCTGCTAGGCTCTAAGCTTGTTTTGGGACATAAGACATTAAGACGAGGCTGTTATATATAACCATTTCCAAGAAAATCCCCATGTCAAAAGATCAGGGCTTTAGGTTCTGCATCAAGATTTTGGTTGTGTGTGCATATTAGACAAGTATGAAATCAAAACTGAAAAGACAACATTGAAGCATACATCAATGATGCATAGATAATATGTACAAAGCGTACCAGCCTTCAATGTTTGACCTGATTTCATTTCGACTCCCTCCTCCCTCTTTCTCTTCCCTACAGAGCTCAAAGAACCTTCAACTGCAAAGCAATTAAGCGGGACTCATCAAGATTGGAAAAGTCACACTAGATGCTAGTACAATTCTCTCTAACACCACGCTAGCATCAAGTTGAACATCAAAACATAGGATAATGGTTCTCAAGAAGCTCCTTAATAGTTAAATACTAAAAATGACAGTACGACCGAGTTTTGGAAAAATTCAAGCTCCCTAGTTGAAGTAAAACACACAAATAAGATTTCAAACCTTGCCATTCACACACAACTTTTGATTCACCCTTAACAAGCTTGGGGTAGCGATCTACTCGTGAATCATCTTGTAGCAATTCCTCAACCTGAAAAGCAGTTGAGGGTTGAATCTGTTGATATCAACTTAGAGGATGCGGGTTATCTCTTAGAACCTTACAGATTACTCGACTAAAATCTCTTTGCAATTCAAACTTCAATCTATGAACATAAAACCGAATCATGGTTTACGTCTAACTTTCTAACCAATTATGAAAGAAAAGGCAACAGCTTATCGGATCAAAGAGCATAGGCATGCAAAACATACTTTTTCCATAACTGAGGATCCTTTCTTTCCCTAGGCAAAAGGAGATGATCTCGCAACCATGAAGCAACAACCCATGATTCACCTCCCCCATCCATGCTCTTCGACCTCAAGGCATTCTCCTCAAGCATATCACAGACCTAAGAAGTAAAAGCAATTAGTTACCATATAATTATTATTTAAATGTATATATATATATATATATATATATATATAAGAAGCATTGGAGATCCTTTTTTTCTCCTAACTTTTCAGAATACATTCAAAGTGATTACAATTTTAAACAATCACATAAGATCAGGTATATCAACAAAAGCATGAAATTTTTTAAAGCAACATTTCCACATTATGAAAGGGAGGCATACAAGATAGTTATCCTAAACTTCAGAAATTTGAAGCGAGAGCACTATTTTCACAGAATGCTAACATCTTATCTCGCATTTTGTCATGCTTGCCTTTTTTTTTCATCATCCCCTAGCTTTTATATCCAAAGGATATGTTCATTTTAATTTGAGGTGATAATTTTTAAAAATCACTTTCTTTTAAGCCTTTATCCATTTGGAATCTATCCCAGCCGAGTGTCTAGATGCACAGGGTAATAAATAACGGCAAGATTTTTTAGTAAATTGTTAAACTGAAATACAGAAAACCACTTAAATAGCCTGACACACAGTATGTAAGGAAAATAAACCATTAATTTACCTTAACTGTACATTGAAAATTTTGGTACCTGATTGTATAGCTCCTCTGCTCTAGCTGAAAGATACCTTCTCTGACGGACTTTCCAAAATAATACCGCACATCCTATAAGCTATAAAGCTAATTATTGTTAACAACTTTCAAAATGTTGATACTATAATTAAAGAATTCAAAGGATGGCTTTCAGAAAGGATTACAGCTGCACAAACAGGCACAATTATAAGAGCATGCTTGGAGACCAATTCACGGATACGACAGGTCAAAGGTTTGTAATACTCTGCCAGAGCATCTGGACACTTGAATTCCTGTAACCTATTGAAAAAATAAGAGAAATGTAAATTAAAATTTTCCAAATGCTGAACATAAAATAGATTATGACAAGCATACCCATGGAGATTTGTTCTTGTCTCTAATAATTTAGCTATTGTTTCCATTGCCTTTCTTTTTGTATAAACATATGAGGTATGGTCTGAGTCAACATTTTGCTTCAGCATGTGTTCATCTAAATCATTCCAGAGACCATTTTCCTGAACCTGAAAACGGTACATGTTTAGAACAATTGACGTTGTTATGTATGGTTTCTAGGAAACATAATTTACAGTAATATGCACGCATTATCATATGAAATTGAATATCATGAGATACCCAAACTGTCCCAGTCCCATAGCACATGACTTGAGCATAAGCTTCACAAAGGCCAGCTTCTACCCATTTGGACTGCAATACATAAATGACAATCAGAAGAAAGAAAAAGTGCATATACTATTCCAAGGCAAAAGATGCCATAGTTGAGCTTAGAATATCTATGTTCCAAACTGAGCAAAATATAATAACATACAAGTTTCTTAGCTGTTTCATTGATATCTCGATCTTCTATACACAGCTTTCCATGTCTTCTATAGCCATTAATACATTCCAACTTGCCTTCATAACATTCCCCATTACTTAGACAAGGCTCACAAGCATCTGTAGTGATACACATTTGTCAGAAGATTATTGAAATCTATCACTAGGAAGCAGGGAATTTAAAACTTTTTAGTTTTACTCAGATTTAGTAACGCTGGATGAGTGGAAATAGATGCATGATATTAACGGTAAGAAATGAGAAGATATTATCTAAAAAAACAATGAGTTAATCTCAGCTTCTTTTTCCGCTCATTCATACAACCGTCTTAAATATGTGTAAAATTAAATCATATATAGAGGAAGATGAAGATTGATTGACACATAAATTGGTTCATAAGAAACATGGAATAAAAGTGCCCATAGCTAAAGCTGCAAAGAAAACCAAATTAATAACGGAATGAATGAAAATTCATAGGAAAAGATACCAAGAGAGCAAAGTTGAACAAAAATGAAAAAACGGCACGAGAGAGAGAGAGAGAGAGAGAGAGAGAAGGAATTACCAGAGAATGAATTGGTGGGGTCTAAATTATCGCAAAAGGGTTTAGAGGTGGAGCTGGAGAAGGTAATAAAGAAGTTGCAGGAGAGAGCTACAGCGGATGCGATTGCGAGCACCGCTATGAGCCGCAAGAACTCTCCTTTGGAAGGGAGTAAGCTCTGGGGTGGCTCGATTATAGCAGTTAGTGATGATTTAGAAGCCGATGAAGAAGAATGTGAACCGTGCTTCGATTTTGAACGCTTTTTGGGCGTCGGGGAAGACATTTTCGAGGTTAGATCGACATCAACAACAATGTTAATTTCCTTTAACTATGCACCGCTAAAAAAATGTTGCTTTGCTCTCTCAATATTGAAATGGTCTAATCCATTCCAAGTTCGACAACCTATTTTGTTTTGTTTTAATTATTGTTTGGGTAAATTACATAAACGGTCCCCTGATTATAAAATATTACTTTATTTAATTTTTAATTATTAAAAGTTAATAATTGGTCTCATGAGGGAGTTACTTGTTGAATCATCAACCATTAAAAGTTAAAAATGATCACCCTACTATCTATTATTTTTAAACTCCTCTTTTTTGTTAAAAAATTAACAGCATTCTGAGTTGGACGTTAACCTACTAACTGAGATATGAAAAAGGCTGATCTCATAATCTCAAACGACTATTATATCTCAATCAGTAGGTTAACGTCTAGCTTAGACTGCCATTAATTTTTTAAAAGGAAAATGAAAAGTTTGAAACATAATGAATAGTCGAGTGACTATTTTATAACTTTTAATAGTTGATGGACTAAACAAAGCAACTATCTATAGTGGAGACCATTTTGTAAATTTTAATAGTCGGAGACTCAACAAAATAGTATCCTATAGTTGAAGGACCATTTTATACTTTACCCTTATAGTTTTGATGTTTATATTATGTTTAAATTTAAAAATTAAAATTTATATTTTTTAATTATTTTTTAATTTGAAATTTAATTATTATATTTTAATTTGATATTAATTTAAATTAAAAGATAATAAAAATCATATAATTATAATTATAATTATTTATACACTATATCAATTTAATATTAATTTAATTTAGGGTTCATCTTATTTTTTCTTATTCACCGTTATTCTTTTTTTTTATCTTTGTGATCGGCAGCAGCACCAACCTTGATGTTGGTCATTGATCGTCAGTATTCATTATTTTTCTTTATTTTATTATAGCGTATTTTTTTTAATAATTATGCATTTATGACATGTCTTCTTCTTCCTTAATGGAACGTTTTTCTCTGTTTTTATGGCAAGTTTTTGATCGACCATTATTTTCGTTTATTCTTTTTTCAGTGTTGAATTTGATATCGTCACTATTGATCAAGAAATCATTTATTTGCTATCATGCTAATCTTCTTTGCTTTGGACCCTCAAATTGAATTTGGATACGTGATTTGTGTTCGTGGATAGTATTTTCAAGTCTCTCACTCGATTCTGATTTGTGGTTTGTCACTAGTCTTTTATAGCTTTATCCTATTTTGTGGTTCGTTTACCGGTACAGTCAGATCTGTTCGTATCTACCTTTTGTTTGAGTTTATTTGATTAGGTTTTTAACATTTTCCTTATATATGGTCCTTTTGTGATTTTAAGTATCTAATTTTCTTGTGTTTAGGAAAATATCTTTATTAAGTGTTTAGTTTATAATTTTGATTGTAAACTTTTAATGTAATTTAACTATTTTATATTTTTAATAAAATTAACCACTTCTATAAAAAAATTAATATAATCCTCCAATTAGATGTTGACATATATCATGACGGGTGTTATGGCACGTGTCATTATCTTATAGGGGAAAATAATATGAATAAAGATAGATTTTTGGAGAATCAAACCTAGGCTAAATCCCATATTAGATACGTGAGTTATATTTTTATATATATCTTATTATAGTTAATACTAAAATAGAGAAAAATTATATATAAAAACTTAAAAACTAGATTAATTAGGGAGTATGGGAGCACCTAATATACCGAAGCAAATCTAATGATTGGATATATATATATATATATATATATATATAACTATAATTAATACAAATTTTTAAACAAAAAAAATTTAACTTTGTTATATTTTTAAAGTAAATTTAATATTTTATTTTCTAAATTTGTAATTCAAAGATTATATATATACTATTAAAACTATATAAAAGATTATTTAGAAAATCCAAACTTACTAGCGCAACTTAAATCATAAGTAAATTTTTAAATTAAATTTCATCAAAAAGAATTTTTTTTAGAATTCTTTTTCTTTCAGCTACAATTAGTTTTAATCATATTAATGTTATAACTTAAATTATATATTTTAGATTACACAATCTAATAAAAATAACTAAAATATAAATGATTTGTACATTTGAAGTCAATAACCTATAGAGCAAGTGGTTAAAAGCTCTTAGTTGACACCTCATATCTCCTTTAGGTTGTGGGTTCAATATCTATTAAGAGCAAAATTTCTCTTCTCCTCTCCTAAATTTAATTTTAAAAAAAATGAGTTTAAAATTATTAATTAAGTTAAAAAATCTCAATTTAATGTTTTTTTTTGGATAAGTAAAATTTTATTATCCAAACAAGAAATCAGTACAAAACGTCCCATTCAAGGATCAAAGACAAGCTATTTACAACAAAAGAATGGTTAGCCTATACCCCAATTGGAACTAAGTTGCATATTAACAAAATTAAGTCTATTTATATCTCTATTTCTAAGTTGAGCACCCACAATCTCCTTAATTGAGTTAAGCAAATCATCAACAGTTATAACTCTTCCTTGGAATAAGCGTCTGTTTCTTTCCCCCAAAACAAAGTAAATGAATGAACACCAAGCGATCTTCATGATTGTGGTAAGGAGAGATTTACCTTTCCAAGTCGAATAAGCCCAAGCAAGCTTGATATCCCATGACATATGAGGTTTGGCCAAGAGAGAAAGATTTAGAATTCCATTCCAAAGAGCAACAACTATAACATAATCAGCAAATAAGTGATTTCTCATTTCAAGTGCATCATTACATAAAATGCAAGAGCCAACAGTGGTAATTCTCATACGAATAAGTCTTTCTCTAGTAGGGAGTCGATCCAAGAGTGCAAGCCAAGTGATGATGCTGAATTTGGGAATGTGGAGGGGAAACCAGACAAGTTTGTGCCAAGATACCTTTTCATGCTTGATTCGTATTTCTTCCCAAATTCCTTTGGAATTTGAAACTACTACATTAATAACTGGGAGGGCCTCAATTTTCAATTTCAATAGCCTGTTGAAGCAATTGATGTATGAAACACTCTTATACATATGTGAAAAGGCTTTGGTTTTAATCACATAGTTATAAATCCAAGTAATACATAAGGAGCCTTCACCAGCAAGAATATTTCGAATGAGCTGCATCATGCACACCTTATTCCAAGTTTTTAAATCTTTTAATCCCAACATGTTTCCCCAGCTTACTCTAGCACCAGTGGTTGCAGTGTCAGTACCTTTTCATAAGAAATGGGAACATAGCTGGTTAATCCTATTAATAACAGCTTGAGGGAGAATGTTGAAAACATTTTAATGTTTCGACATAACAAATTAAGTTAAATGAATTTTAAGATTTTGCAAAAGATTTTCTAAGTATATTCGATGTAATTATTCAAATATCAAAATATTACTCCAAGTCTTTCAAAGTTCATTTTAATCCTTACTAAAGTGTAAAATTGTGTTTTATACTTAAACTATTTTAAAACAATTTTACAAAGCATTTCGAGCCTTAATCGAGCCAAAAATATTTTCTTTTTAAAGGGTTTCAAGAAAAATCAGATTGTCTAGGGGGAACAGATTCCCCCCCAGGGGGTACAGATTCCCCCCAGGGGGAACAGATTCCCCCCCAGGGGGTATCGATTCCCCGGGAATAGATTCCCCCCAGGGGGTACAGATTCCCCCCTGAATGGTTTGGCTCCGAGAAATTCCAGTATGCTCGGAGGGAACCGATTCCCACTAAGGGGGTACCGATTCCCCCTAAGGGGGTACCGATTCCCTCACTGTTCATCAGCCCAACGGTCATAATATTTGAATATTATGAAGGGGTATCGATTCCCTATGAAGGGGTACCGATTCCCCCCATTCTGGGCAGCCTATTTTTGCAGAAAAATCATTCCCAAACGGCTCCAAAACATCCCCAACGGCTAGATATGACTTCAAACACATTCCAAGCTATAAATACAAGCTAAGGATACTTAAAGAAGTAAGAGAACAACTATCCAAGAAATCAAACACAAGAGAAGAGTTTTTCATTCTTATTTCATCTTTCTCTTGTATATATTTTGTTCTTGTGAGCTCAATCTTGTAAACACCTACCTTAGAGAGGTTTTCTTGTTTACATTTCTTATCCTTTTGTAAAGGGTAAAAGTTCTAGCTAATCCCGTGTAAAATCTAGGGAAAGGTTCTAGTTTAGCCCGGAAAAACTAGGGAGTTTGTAAGGTTACTCTTTATCCTCAAAAGAAAGAACAAATTAGTGAATTTGTTGGAAAATCCTTGGTGAGGAGCTAAGGTAGTGGACGTAGACTTTGATTGAGAAAGTTGAACCACTATAAATCGTTGTGCAATTCTCTATCTTTCAATCTCCTTACTCTCTAAATACAAAACCGTTCCGACCCCTCTTTGCAAACCGTTCCGGTTGTCAATTCGAGCTTCCGAAAATCCTAACAATTGGCATCAGAGCCTAACTCGTTAAGAAGGTTTAACCACCTTGAGACGGTCCTAGAAGAAGCTCTACCATTCCCTACACAACCGAGAAGATGGCTTCTACCTCTGGCTCGTTCCACATGGAAGACTCCCTACCAACCGACAAACCTCTATACTTCAATGGAATCAACTATCATCATTGGAAGAAATTAATAAAGGTATTCATCCAATACAATGATCTTGATGTATGGGAGATAATCGAGAATTGCTACTCTTCTCCAAAGAAGAAGGAGAAGAAGCGGAGTGACAAAGAACGGAAGAAAGCTCAACTTAATGCCAAGGCCATGCACATGTTGTTTTGTGCATTTGGTCCTGAAATCTATGAAGGGGTTTCTTCATGTTCAAGTGCCAAGGAGCTTTGGAATAAGCTCGAGGAAATCCATGGAAACAAGAAAGAAGAACCAACAAAGGTGGTGTCTCTAATGGCTTATGAAGAGCTCGAGGTATCTTCTAACTCAAATGAATTTAATTCATATACGTTTGATGAGTTTCAAGATGCTTTTAATAGGTTATATTCAGATTTTGAGACCATGAACTCCAAATATAAGAAAATGATTTCAAAATTTAAAATTGAAAACGATTTTCTTTTG